ACCAGTGTTGGACGAGATGCGGGACATCTTCACGAAGCTCCAATGTGGCGGTGTGGTGTACCCGGAGCTCGTGCAATGCGTGGAGATCGTAATACGGCTGCCGGAGTCATGTTCTGCCCTAGCGATCAACCTCAACTCCCAACAACTCCAATGGAGCGTGGATTGCATTCGCGCGCGCATCCTAGAGGAGGACTTGCGGCGGCGGAGTGTGGAGCGCTCGGAGGAGGGGGCTGGCTATGGAGTTGGAGGTGGAAAGAGTGGCTTCAAGAAGAAGTGGAAGGGCAAGAACAAGGACAACCCTAAGGAGGATGGCGGCGGGGGTCAAGGGGAGGTATGCTTCTACTGCAAGAAGCGTGGACATCGTTGGCGGAAGTGCTACCAACGACCCAACGATTGGACCCCGCCTTCATCAAGCAACCAGCGTGGTGGCACGAGGAGTGGGGGAGTCATGGGAGCTAGTGGAGAGGAGAAGGAGGAGAAGAAAGGCAGCAAATCTGAGGAGCGAAAGGCCGGGTTCTATTTCTTCGTGAACGAAGGCGCAACCGACCTCGCTATGGCTGCCAAGGTTCTCCTACACCCCCTCACCCATTGGGTGATTGACTCGGGAAGCTTCTGGCACATGACTCCTCGTGCGGACCTTCTTGATGAGATTCAGCCCGCACCTATCTCTACGGTCACATTCGCGACGGGCGCCAAGGCCAAGGTCATGGGCATGGGGTGCGCAAAGTTCATGGGAGCGGATGGAGAGCTCGTGGGGCTGAAGAACGTGCTTTGGGTGCCGGACTTGTGCGCAAACCTGTTTTCTACCGGCCGATTGGGAGATGCGGGTGTGAACACCGAGACAATTGGCTCGGAGCGCTATCGTGCCTATAACGATGAGCGGCTGATTTGGGACCTGCAGTGGAAAGAGGATGTCCACAAGCGGATGTGGCAGATCCTGGTCCTCCCTTGGCGGAAATCGGGCAAGGCGGCAGTGGCGGCATCTATGGAGGAGAGTGTCACTGAGGAGGAGCAGCAAGGTGTGCAAGGAGAGGAGCTGATTGGAGGAAGCGCGGCGGTGAAGGCGTCAGCTACCTCGGGCCAAACGGATTGGGAGACATGGCATCGGCGACTCGCACACGTGGCTGTTTCAACATTGGAGGTGATGCACAAGGAGAAGTGCGTGCATGGGCTGCAATTGCAAGGAGATGGCGCTCACTATGGCAGCTGCGAGGCGTGCATGCAAAACAAGTTTGCGCGGTTCCCGTTTCCACGTGCGGAGGGATCGGCGAAGGCACCCTTGGAGGTGGTGCACATGGACCTGGTGGGTCCTATGAGGACTGAGGGGACTGGGGGAGTGCTGTACTTCCTCACCATGGTGGACGAATGGAGCCGTTTCACGTGGGCACGTCCCTTGTCCAAGAAGAGCGATGCTGCAGCGGCGATCAAGGAGGATTGGTTGCCGATGGTGGAGCGGCAAGCGATGCGGCTGGTGAAGGTGCTGAGGAGCGACCGTGGTGGAGAGTTCCTTGGAGCGGAATTCACCAAGTTTCTCAAGAGGAACGGCATCCGACACCAGCTGACCTGCCCAGGAACACCGCAGCAGAACGGCATTGCTGAGTGTGCCAACTGGACCATTGGCGAGGCGGCTAAGACTCTGTTGGGGGCTTCTGGGATGCCCTACAAGTTCTGGCCTGATGCCGTTTGCCATGTCATCACGGTCAAGAACAGGGTCTTGACACATGTTGGCGACAAGCATTGGGTGCCGTACGAGCGTTGGCTTGGGAAGAAGCCATCCATTGACATGCTGCGGGTGTGGGGCTGCATGGGGCTTGTGATGGTGCCTAAGGAGCAGAGGCACAAGCTGGAAGTTGCTGCTGTGTGGGCTGTCCATCTTGGGATGGCTCCTGACTTGAAGGGGTGGCTGATGTGGGACCCCAAGAGCAAGAAGACGCTGGTCAGCCGTGACGTCAAGTTTGTGGAGGACGTCATGTACAAGGACTGGCAGCAGCAGCAGCAGTTGCAGATTGGCTTGCGTCTGCAGGAGATTGATCGGTCTGCAGTGGAGGAGGTTCAGCTGCAACTTGAGGATCTCCCTGGGTCAAAGCTGACCAGTGACCACAGTGGCGGTGGAGAGCAGCAAGTTTCTGGTCCTGCTGCAGAGGAGGGGTTGGAGGATGAGTCGGCACGTGTGGACTCACCAACTCAGCCCGAGCCTGCTGCAACCGCCAAGGTCACCAAGAGGAGTGTGCAGAGAGGAGCTTCACCACATGAGCAGCAGATTGCAACCCGCGAGAAGAGAGTGGCAGCAGCACCTTCAAGGCTGAAGTATAGCCGTTTGGGAGGACCTGAGCAAGGTGCCATGGCGGTTCAGGCAGATGAGGGAGAGGATGAGGAGATGGCCTTCTGTTTCTTCACACCCTTGCCTAGAGAACCAGCCACATTGGAGGAGGCACTCAGTGGACCCCAGAAGGAGGAGTGGAAGGCTGCCATGGATGCGGACTTCAACAGCCTCATTGAGAATGGGACTTGGGAGCTTGTTCAGTTACCCGAGGGGCGACGGCAGATCAGCAGCAAGTGGGTCTTTAAGGTGAAGAGTGGTGCTGATGGTGCGTTGGAGCAGTTCAAGAGCCGTTTGGTCGCCAAGGGGTTTCAGCAGAAAGAGAAGGTCGACTTTGGGGAGATCTTCGCTCCCGTTGCTAAGCCACTGACACTGAGGACTTTGATGGCTGGCGCAGCTGTGAAGGGATGGCATGTGAAGCAGATGGATATCACCACTGCGTTCCTCACTGGAGTGCTGCTGGAGGATATCTACATGGCGCAGCCCGACGGCTATGAGGATGGGACCAGCCGGGTGTGCAAGCTTAAGAAGGCCATCTATGGCCTTAAGCAAGCGCCCAGGTGTTGGTACGAGAAACTGGAGGAGGTGCTGCTGAGTGGAGGCTTCAAGACGTCCCAGGCGGATCACAGCTTGTTTCTGCTTGGAGAGGGGGAGCAGTTGTTTTTGCTGCTGATGTATGTCGATGACATACTGCTGTTCTCACCTTCCATGGAGCAGATTGAGAGGACACAGAAGCTGCTGATGGACAACTTCAAGTGCAAGATGCTGGGGGATGTCCACTTTCACTTGGGGCTGCAGATTGAGAGGGATGTTGAGAGGAGGTGGCTGAAGGTGCATCAGTCACACTACATCTTTGGTGTCATAGAGCGGTATGGTGTGACTGGGGGTCGCACTTTGATGACACCATTCCCTGCGGGCTTCAAACTGAAAAAGGCAGCTGAGGAGAATGATGTACTCAAGGATGAGCAGCAGAATGAGTACCAGTCACTCATTGGGAGTGTGATGTATGCAGCTGTGCATATGCGACCTGATGCTTCATTCGGAGTGGGGCAGCTGGCCAGAGTTGTGCAGCGGCCCACTGAGGAGCAGTTGGAGGTGGCAAAGCGCTTGGTGCGCTACCTCGGATCAACGGCATCTGCTGGTGTTCACTTTTCAGCTGGCGGCCAACTGAAACAGATTTGAGCAGATGGGGTCACGCCTGGAACCTTGAAGCTGTCGTGCTTCACCGACGCTACGTGGGCCTCAGAGGAGGAGGATCAGTCATCTGCTGGCGGCTTTGTGTGCATGGTCGGAGGTGGATTAGTGAGCTGGAGGTCCAAGAAGCAGAGTGAGATTGCTCAGTCTTCCGGAGAGGCAGAGTACATGGCGATGTACCATGCCATCAAGGAGATCGTGCTCCTGAGGAAGCTGCTTGAGGACATGGGAGCTGAATAGGAGGGACCTACACCACTTTTCTCCGACAACGAGGCTGCTATTGGCATGGCCAATAATCCTATCCTGAATGGGCTGAACAAGCACATGAAGATTAAGTGGCACTGGGTGAGGCAGATGGTGAAGGAGGGGATTGTTGAGCTTCATCATGTGAAGGTTAGCAAGCAAGCGGCAGATTTTCTTACCAAGAGACTTCCCGAGAGCGCACATTGGAAGTGTGCTAAGATGTGTGGCATGGCATTGCACTAGTGTGGGCAGCAGTGTCATGAGTGCATGTGTGATTGTGTGCATGAGATTTTGCACGAGTGTGAGTGTGTGTGCATGCAGTCCGTTAGTCTGAGGGGGAGTTTGTTGGATGCACGTCATTCTGAGTGCATGTCATCCTAACGTCCTGCCGAGTGCTCGTGCTATTCATGCGTGCATTGTGTGCATGAGCATATGTCATTGTGCATGGCTGTTGGATATTATCCTTTCTGTGTTTTTCTCCAACTTTAAATGCTTGATCATGCAGGAGAAATCCAGAGCTTTCCAACGATACCAAGATCGCCTTATTCCGACCAAGATCGCCCAAGTTACAAGATTTCCAAGACTTGGATTTCTTATTACCTTTTGGGGTTATATCTAATTTGGGTGATTACTTGGACATGACTATAAAGGGATCTTTGGTTGGGTGGTTTGGGAGGCAACTTTGACTTTTGGATTGGGATGGCTAGAAGTTTCTAGCATGGGTTGCAAATGTTGCAACACCTAGGCAAAATCCAACTAGATTGGATTTTGCATGTGACACCTCAAGGACCTCATGATGAGGGTTGCATCCTTGCTGCTAGGAAGGTTCCTACCATCCTTCTCTAGCACTTGGAGAACCCCTTCCCTCTCATGGTTCTCTTGGAGGTTCCCAACTCCAACTCTCTATGCCTTAATGCTTGTACTTCCTCCACCATTCTAGTCATGCGGCTGCTGGACGTTTTTACTTGGTTCTCAGTCCATAGACCATCTTAACGATTGACTCAACTTGGAGATGGTAGCTAAGCCTAAGGCGCACAAACCTACCGAGCGGATTTGCGTTTAAGTGAGTAATGAGTTCGTCGTAAGCTCTCAAATTGACGGATCCTGAACAACACCCCAACACACACCACCCTCAGCTTCGCGGCTACACTGCTGCTCGGCTTCGCGGCTACACGGCTGCTCGGCTTCGCGGCTACGCTGCTGCTCTGCTGCGCTGCTGCACCTGTTCAGCTGCGGGAGGGGTATGGGGGTAGAAGTGCAGATGCGAGGCGACGGGCGGCAGCCCGAAGGTGACGCTGCAGGGCGACGGGCGGCGGCCCGATGAGAAGCTGCGGGCGACGGGCGGCGGCCCGACGAGAAGCTGCGGGCGACGGGCGGCGGCCCGACAAGAAGCTGCAGGGCGACGGGCGACGTCCCGACGAGGAGAAGAGATGACGCGATGATGTTTGACAAAAAGGAGCGATAGGTTATGGCGCCGACAATATGCTCACAAGAAAGATAGTAGATGTCTCGAAGTTGACGGGAAGGTGGTGCGGGAAAATTTCCACCGACGAATGTCGCGAATCACCGGCGACGAGATTGAAGGTGGCTATGCCGAGCTTTGCGGGACGAGCATCCGCAAAGATAGGAGGATCAGGATCGGCGTGTGCGGTTGAAGGGCTCTGATACCATGTCAGAACTTAAGCTTAGAACTGATACATTAGTAATGAGCTTGAAGCGCTTTAAGTACATCCAAGAAGGGCAAGGAATGGATGGGGAAGGAATTCGGGGGCAATCCCTAGGGATTGGGGGTAATCCCAAGGCAATCTCCAATTGGTGGGTTGGAGATTGCTTGGAGATTACATTTGGGTTTGGTTGGGATGTAGATGTACACCCAACCAAACACAAAGTGCAAACTACACTACTCTAGGATATAGAAAAATATAAAGTACAAAGTGTGAGATTGAGGGCTAACACTAACAGTCCTCACAGGTCATCGGGTAAGAGGGGGGTTGGGGGGAAGAGGGAACGACACAGAAGAACAAGAATTGCAAGGAACCCATTTGCAGGTGCACCGGGTGTGACTATCGCCCCATTTCCCCATGCCTTATTCTCACTCCCTCTCTCCTCACCTTCCTCACCTCCCCTTTCACCTCTCCTCTTACCTCCCCCCTCACCTCCCCTCATGTCCCCTCACCCTCCCCTCACCTCCCTTCACCTCCCTTCGCCCCCCCTCCCCTCCCCTCCTCCCTTCACCTCCCTTCCTCCCCTCCCCTGCCCTCCTCCCTTCACCTCCCTTCCTCCCCTCATCTCCCCTCACATCCCCTCCTCCTCTCACCTCCCCTCCCCCACTCACCTCCCCTCACCTCCCCTCATCCCCTCACCTCCTCTCACCCCCTCATCCCCCTTCCTCCGCTCACCTCCCTTCCTCCCCTGCCACACCTTCTTTTCCTTGATCAGGTGCCCGAATCACCTCACCTGTCTCTTCTCCCCACCGCACCTTGTTGGGCGTGTAGCAAGGGTTGGGACCGCCGCCCACGAGCGCGAATAGGTGGCAGCAAGACAGCATCTCCACCATGCCCACGCCGCGCCCCTCAAACTAGCGCCGCTGAATCGCCTCCTTCAGCGGGTCGCAGCAAAACTCGCGAAAGCCGCTTTGCGTCGCGTACGTGAAGCACATGTCATCCTGGTTGAACCGCACCGGCGGAAGTTGAGGCAGCGGAGCCGCGGTGGCGGACACAAAGACAGCGCCCGCGGAGTCAGCGCCCGCAGAGTCTCTGTTGGCGGAAGGTTTCGCATGCATTTTCTTCACCCGCTGACTCGCCAAGTGTAACGGATCTGCTAAGTAAAAGGGCATTTACCCATATACCAATATGTTCTAATACAACCAAAGAGTAACAGCTTCTGGAAATGATCAAGTCCGAGGAGTGCTAGGAGATGCAGTAACAAATCCTGGAGGGTGAGTTCAGAAGGAAGCAATCCTATTTCCCAATTGTTTAGTTGGGGATAGGAAGTGAAGAATGAGCTAGCTTGGCTCAGACCCCTCCCTAGACCCCCTTGGGGTGCAGCCACCTTCCCCATGGCAAAGAAGGGTGCACCACCATGGGTCTTTGCCCATGTGGCAATGGTTGGGGTTTCCAACCAATTAGACAATAGACAGCAAGGATAACAATGCATAATTATCACAAACCTGAGTTGTTGCATTGGTTGGAATTTCAAGGAAGAGTCGAGTTGGATTTAGGTTGGTTGTTTCTGATTGGTTCTATTTCCAACCAGCGGCGGAAGTTCCGTCGACTCACTTTGTGTGAGTATGCTCTGATTGGTTGGGCAAGGGTGATGTTTGAACTTACGTGGGTTGTTTTCAAACCTATCGCGTAAGTTCTGTCACAACTGTACAGCAGAGTTCTGATTGGCTAGTTTTCCAATCAAGTCAATTCCAAATTTCTCGCTTCCTATCAAACTCCAACCAATCATATTTCTCCCCTTGTTTCCCCCTCACAGCTGGTTCGACGTATCGAGACCAGGTGGGGGTTGGGTCCGAACGCTACACCAAGAAAATCGCGAAAGGATCTGTAGGGTTGAATTCCGCTCTGCCAACTTCTCCGGGGGACTGGGCGCTAAGCATGGTGTCGACAATCCCGGAGTCTGAGTCGCTAGTATGTCCGTAAGCTTAGAGGGTGGACGAAAAACAGAGGCACCTGCGAAAGCCGCGTGGCGACAGACGGCAGATTCCTCAGCCATAGCAAAAGGCAGCTGATACAGACGGTGAAAAAGGTGAAAAAGGCCGAGAGGACAGCGAGAGCGACGAAAAAAGGGGTGTGGAGCGGAGGAAAGAAGTGGTAGGAGCAGCAAGCAGGGGACCACGGCAAATTGGCAAATTCGACTGTGCTGTCGGGCCAGTCTCCCGACCCGTCGAGCGACGATGGGACCGATCCATCGCACCATGCAAACTCGAACGACATCGAGAATTTTGTCGAGACAGACTTTGGCATGGATTGTCTGACCGTGCTGCTCCCTCCCAGCTGCTCACTCATGAGTGCTAGGCTCCGAAAACCTCGAATCAAATCACGATGAGTTGAAGGTTATATGACAGGTGTCGCGTAAGTGCGCATGAGAGGCAGCAATACATTACACTAGGTAGCGTCGCCTAGTGAACGGTAGCGGCCTCGGTAGCGCTACCGGGGTTTGAGCTCTTAGCACGCGAAGCCCCGCGTGCTGTACTCGACCGCCCAGAACCGAGCTCGCCAGCCTGTCCAGGGCGGGAAGCAGGCTGGTCCGACCGGGGGTCTTACGGAGCGTCGTGAGCCTGAGTCTCGCCCTGCGTCGCCTGTTCATGCTGCTCGCACTGGTCGTTGTGTTCCGCGTCAGCGTCCTCCTCCTGTCCCCGGCACGCACCAGATGGCACTGCTTCCTTCCACTGCTCCGCAGCGTGTCCCTCTTCCGTCTCCTCGTGCGTCCTCCCATGCTGTCAGTCCGGACCCGGAGTCTGACTCCCTTCGTGCTGCTAGTCCTACTATCACGCGTCTCCTGGCCACTGTTGTCATTGACCCTTCTTTTGAGTCTACTGCTACATCGGCTCTTGTTGCTGAGCTGGTCGCCTTTGCTGCTCACTGTCGTCTAGACTATGTCGCTAGTCTTGTTGCTGAGTTTGAGTCTGTCTGTCCTCCGTCCGTCGAGGGTGAGTGTGCTCTTGGCACGGACGTCCTTGAGGACAGGCAGGAGGACTTCCAGTGCTTTGCTGCTGCTTTACCTCATCTCGTGTCCATGCTGCTTGCCCCTGAGGGAGACCCGGATGCACCAGACATCCCAACTCTGCGCTCTTACGCAGAGGCGATAGAGGGTCCCTACTCCTCTCAGTGGCAGACAGCCATGGACGCAGAGATGGCTTCCTGGAAGTCCACAGGCACTTACGCTGACGACGTTCCCCCACCTGGGGCGAACATTGTCGATGGCATGTGGATTTTCAGGGTGAAGCGGCCGCCGGGTTCTCCGCCTGTCTTCAAGGCGCGTTACGTTGCACGAGGCTTCAGTCAGCGACAGGGAGTTGACTTCTTCCAGACCTTCTCCCCTACCCCGAAGATGACCACTCTTCGGGTGCTGCTGCACGTCGCCGCTCAGTGTGACTACGAGCTTCACTCTCTTGACTTCAGCACAGCCTTCTTACAGGGCAGCCTGCACGAGGAGATCTGGCTGCGCCGCCCACCTGGCTTCACTGGGTCGTTTCCTCCTGGTACCCAGTGGAGCCTCCGGCGGCCAGTCTACGGTCTCCGCCAGGCGCCCCGTGAATGGCACGACACACTGAGGACTACCCTTGCGGCTCTTGGGTTTGCTCCTTCCACTGCTGACCCGTCGCTGTTTCTACGCACCGATACTACTCTGCCGCCGTTCTACATCCTCGTGTGTCGACGACTTGGTCTTTGCTACTGCTGACACTGCTGGACTGGCCCACGTGAAGTCGGAGCTGCAGAAGAGACACACGTGCATAGACCTGGGTGAGCTGCGCAGCTATCTTGGCTTGCAGATCACCCGGGACAGAGCACGACGCACCATTACCTTGACTCAGTCACACATGGTGCAGCAGGTCCTTCAGCGCTTCAACTTCACGTACTCCTCGCCTCTGTCTACTCGCCACTGGCTCTCAGCTTTGCCTTTGGATGAGTCCGTAGAGCCGAGTGGCCCGTACCCAGAGCTTGTGGGCTGCCTCATGTACCTGATGACCTGCACTCGACCTGACCTGGCAAACCCTCTTAGCATCCTGGCACGCTATGTTGCTCCTGGGAGACACAGGAAGGAGCACATGGATGCCCTAAGAGGGTGTTGCGCTACTTGTGCAGTAGGTCGGGCATGGGGCTCGTGCTTGGAGGACGGGCTCGAGTTGTCCTCACTGGTCACACAGACGCTTCTTGGGTTGACGACTTGGCTACGCAGCGGTCGTCACAGGGTTACACCTTCAGCCTTGGTTCCGGCTCCGTTTCGTGGCGGTCTACCCGCTCGTCTTCTGTTCTCAGCTCCAGTTGTGAGGCTCAGATCTACGCAGGGGCCATGGCTGCACAGGAGTTACGCTGGCTCACCTACCTGCTGACCGACTTGGGAGAGGCGCCTCGTTCTCCTCCAGTTCTGTACGTCGACAACAAGGCCATGATTGCCTTGTGTCAGGAGCACAGACTGGAGCACAGAACGAAGCACATCGCTCTGCGCTACTTCCTTGCTTAAGAGTTGCAGCAGCGTGGTCATCTTCGTCTTGCTTACGTGGCCACTCGGGCAAAACACTGCTGATATCTTTACCACGGCACTTCAGCCTTGTGATCATCAGCGTTTGTGTACTCTGTTAGGTCTTGTGCCTACCTGGCCTCACTTGCTCACCTCTTTACCTTGCCTGTACTGTGATCTAAATATACCTGCACCTGCATGCTTACACTTGTTAGGTTGAGATCACTGTATTGTTTGTTTGCCTTTATATAACTCTGCATGTGAACCGGCCTTGTGGCCATTTGCTTGTGCTCAGAATGCGTGGTGACGTCGTGATCCACCCTGAGCTTGACATTGCCTTGTTCTCTTGCTTGTCCCCCACTTTGCCTATGGGGGTGTGTCAGAACTATACTCTAGGCTGTAGTGGGGCACTCCTTATGGGGTACAGCTCTGTTAGGTTTTGCCTATACAACCTTGTACTGTTCTCATTCTAGTCATTCTCGTTTGTTACCTTGTGATAATCACAATCCTACAGTCGTCGTCTTATGTGGTAGAACACTCATATGATTTAAGCATTATAAAAACGACCACCGTGTGGAAAACGTAAACATTGAAGCTAAGAGAGAGGCGGTGCTGAGCCCCATTTGAGTTGACCAATAAACGCCACCCAGAGGACACTTTCAGGACAGATTTGAAGGTCACGAGTTCGAATCCCAGCGCAGACATTTTGTTGCTCATGGCAGCATTTCCTTCTAACGCGCCCCCTTGCTGTCAGGAGCACGCTGGACCAGCCTGGCTGCTGCACAGCATCGGTTGAAGGCTGCCTTGTCGAGCCGCTCCGTGAAGAAGTCCGCGGGCTGCGCCGTCGTAGGGATGTGCTGCACTTCCAACTTCTTCATACGCACCATGTCCTGTAGCCACATGTGGCGACGGTCCACATGCTTCATGCGCCCTTGCGGCCCGGCCGCCTGGCTGAGCTGCACCGCTGACATGTTGTCGACGTACAGGGTGGTGGGGACACCCTTCTTGAGCAGTTGAAACTCCCACAGCACGAACCTTAGCTTGCGCCCCACCTTTCCCGCTTCCACCGCATCCACAAGCTCGCTCTCGGTGGAGGAAAGTTTGGTCGCACCCTGCAGCTTCTTGGCCTCCCATGAAACGGCAGCTCCGCCAAGCTTGAAGAGGTAGCCTACCGTGGACGACCGATCTCCTTGTCGCCTGCATCATCCGCATCTGCATACCCTACGAGAGTCAAACTCTCTGGTCCTCCCTTGAACAGCAGCCCCTTGTCCGGTGAGGCAGCCTAGTAGGAGAGTGTGCGGAAGAGCTCATGCCAATGCGCATCGGTCCTGAGGTGTGCACCTGCTGCAAGGCGACTGCATGCAAAAGAGAGGTCAGGACGGGTTGAGATGGCTGCAAACTGCACCATGCCGAGAATTGACAAGTACTCGGACATGGTACTGTTGGCAAACGGCCCAGCATCCTGCTTGGCAAAGCTGGCAGATGAGAGAGGAGTGATCGGCTGCTTCTTTGGTGGCGCCCCCTTGAAGAACAGCTGCTGCACCTTCACCACGCACGCATGCTAGTGCAGGAAGAGTGTCCTGTTGGGGCGATCTTGCACAATCTGCAGCCCCAGGTAGCGCTCCACTGGCTCCACCTCACGGAGCTGAAACGCCTTGGCCAGCAGCCCCTTCAGGTCCTGCAGCAGCTGCTGGTCTTCACTTGCCGCTAGCAGGTCATCCACGTAGATTAGCAGCCACACGCGCTTCCCGCTCGCCCCATCCTTGTAGGATAGGGCCTGGTCCACAATGCTCCTCCTGTACCCCTCCACAAGGAGCACTTTTTCCAGCTCCTTGTACCACAAAAGGGGACTCTGCTATAGCCCGTAAAGGCTCTTCTGCAGGAGGCACATCTTGCTGCTACCGTCGGTGAAGTAGGGCGGCTGCTGCATTTAGATCTCGTGGTCAATGGTGCCGTGAAGAAATGAATTCTTCACATCAAGCTGCAGCACATCCAGGTCCATAGCTGCTGCGATTGAGAGGAGCACGCGAACGGTGGTGTAGCTGCCAACAGGAGCGTAAGTGTCGTCGTAGTCGATGCCGAATCGCTGGCTAAAGCCCTTAGCCACGAGCCTGGCCTTGTACTTCTCCACGGTGCCATCAGGCCGCAGCTTCTTCTTCAGCAGCCACTTGACGCCGACGGTTTTGCGACCTTCAGGTAGGTCAGCCATCGTCCAAGTGCCGTGCTCATCAAGGCTCTCCATCTCCTCCTTCATAGCAGCCCACCATTCCTTGCCTTCAGGTCTGGTCAACGCAGCTGCCAGGTCGAGGATGACACCTCCCCAAGCGCCTTCCTCCTCCTCATCCTCGTCCGGGTACTCCACTTCGTCATCGCTGTCCGTGTCGCACTCATCCTCAGCAAGGTACGCCACGTCGTACGGGTTGTCCTCATCATCCGCATCCAGGGCCGTCATGGCTGATGGCTGAAACCGTACGGGTGGCACCCCCTTGTTAGGCCTGCTGAAGCGACGTGGGGGTGGTGGAATGGGCTGGAGGGGGGGAACTGCAGGTGAAGGCTCATGCTCATGGGCCATTAGTGACTGCTCATCCACTGCTACTTCTTCTTCTGCGTCCTCGTGATCAGCCATGCTGGTGTCAACCTCCAGAGGACCATCCTCTGGTCCTACGGGCGCCGAATCAGCAACGGAGGGTGGACCAAGAGGAGGAGGTGCAGTAGGTGCCTTGCTGCCCAAAGGGCCCACCGAGCGATCAAGGGGTTTCTCGCCCCCTTGCACGGACGGTACCGGGACCACGATGACGGTACGTGGTGGCAGCGGATTCGGCTCGGGGTCGTGGGGCTCAGGGAAGAGAGATGGGACTGAAGCAAAGGGTGGTGTGGGCTGGTCATTCCTGTCACCCATGCGTGCACGCCACTTCTGCCACCGTTCAAGTGACATGTCCTCATAAAAACGTGCATCCCGGGTGATGACCATGCGCTTTGACTCAACATCCACCACACGCCATCCCTTACTTTCCATGCTCATGCCCAAATGCATGCCCCAACGAGTCTTGCTTGCAAGCTTCCCCTCACGCTCATGCTCAGGAATGAGGCACTGCACTATGCACCCGAACAAACTCTTGAAAAGTCGCCTCAACTTTGTTAAAGTTATATTTTGTGTAGCATGCCAACACATGTGACTGTACACCAATTGTGGTGTACAGTTGGGTTGGGACTACACCCAACTTTGGGTGTAGTCTTGCACTTTGGGGTGCCAATCCACCCAATTGTGGTGGAGCCCCCAAATGCAACCCACTTGGCTTATGGGTGCCTCACTTCCCACAAGTGAGGTCACCTCAAGCCAAGTGGGCCTAGGGTTGCCTCACTTCTACAAAGTATGGGCAACCCAACCCACTTGACCTATGGTTGCCTCACTCCCCCAAGTGAGGTCAACCCAACCTATGGTCACCCTCACCCTTCTCTTCCAAGTCTCTCTTCCAACTATGTATGCTAGGTTTCTCCTCTAATGAAGTTACTTGTTCAATTTACAATCTTCACATGGTATAGAGCTACTTGTTCCTAGGCCTTACCTCTCCCTCCCTCCAGTTTTTCTTTTTCATGGGCCCACCCCACGGCCACAAATCCCCTCCTACGCGTGGCTCAACCTAGCATACCCTCGCCGCGACCTGCACCGTCGCCACCGTTCCCTCTCCCTGCTGAGATTGCGCCCTCCTCGCCTGCGGATCCCACCACCGCGAGCGCATCACCGCTCCCCCCTCCCCCCGTCGCCGCGACCCCCCAGTAGCCGCCTCCCCCTTTCCGCCGCCGCGCCTCCTCCGGCGCCGCCTGCGCATCCAGTTGCCGCGACACCTCGTCGCCGCCTGCTCTTCCCACCGCCGCGACCTCTCGTCACCGCCCCCCCCCCCCCTCCCGCCACTGCGCCTGCTTTGGCGCCGCCTGCGCATCCCGCCGCCGCGACGTCACGTCGCCGCCTGCCCATCCCTCCGACGCGATGCCCCGTCGTCGCCTTCCCTTCCCGCCGCCGCGCCTACTTCGGCGCCGCCTGCGCATCCCGCCGCCGCGACGTCTCGTCGCCGCCTGCCCATCCCTCCGACGCGACGCCCCGTCGTCGCCTCCCCTTCCCGCCGCTGCGACGCTTGGTCGCCGCCTGCCCGTCCAGCCGCCGCGACTTCGCGTCGCCGCCTGCACGCCCCGCCGCCGCGACCTATCGTCGCCGCCTGCACATCCCACCGCCGCGACCTACCGTCGTCGCCTGCACGTCCCGCGCCGCGACCTAACGTCACCGCCTGCACGTCCCGCCGCCGCGACTTCGCGTCGCCGCCTGCACGCCCCACCGCCGCGACCTAAAAGTCGCCGCCTGCACGTCCCGCCGCCTCCGCATCCCGCCGCTGCGACCTGCTCGTCGTCGCCTGCCCGTCCCACCGCCGCGATTTCGCATCGTCGCCTCCCCCCGCCGCCACTCCCGCAATTTCCGCCGCCACGACTGCACCGACAGCCGCCCGCATCTCCGCCGCCGCGCCACACCGTCGTCGCCCGCGCTTCCCGCCGCGGCGCCTCCTTGTCCCCGCCTGCCCACACCGCCCCCTGCAGATTTTGCCGCCGCGGTAGCCACTTCTACAGTAACAGCAGCGACCGTGGCAGCAACAACCCCACCCACAGCTGCAACTGCTTTCTTCCACTCCCTCCCCTCCCTCCCCCTTTCCTCCTCCTCTCTCTCCTCTCCCACGCAGCAGCACCCGGGACAGCTCAGCGGCCGCAACAGCAGCAACGACAACAGCACCAGTAGCGTCGGCAGCAGCGGTGGCAGCAGCAACAGCGGTAGCAGCGGCAGCATCGGCAGCAGCGGCAGCAGCAGCAGCAGCGGGAGCAGCGGCAGCATCGGCAGTTGCGGCAGCATCGGCAGCAGCGGGAGCAGCGGCAGCATCGGCAGCAGCGGCAGCAGCGGCAACAGAGGCAGCAGCGGCAGCAGTGGCGGCATCGGCAGTAGCAGCAGCAGCGGCAGCGGCAGCAGCAGTGGCATCAGCAGCAGCAGCAGCAGCTTGAGGAGTGCACCTGCCTCAGCTGCAGCTCCTCCCCCCCCCTCGGCCGCCGCGGGTCCACCCGCCGTCGCCCTCTCCCTTGACCGCCGCGGGTCCACCCGCCGCCGTCCCCCTCGTGGCCGCCACGGGTCCACCGGCCGTCGCCCCTCATGGCTACCAACCCTCCTGCCCCCCTCCCTCCTCCCATCAACGCCTCTTCCGTCGACAAACTTTAGCTTGCCACGGACCGCTCGGCTGTCAATTGGCACTCATTCGTCGGGAGTATCCGCCGTATCCTCCAGGACGCCTTCGTCGCACCCTACTGCGTCCTCGACGTCCTCCTCCGCCGCCCGCACGCTCTCCAGCCCACGGCACCCATTCACCTCGGTGAACCCCCTCCTCCCTCCATTCCCCCTGGCCCTCCTCCTCCTGAACCTACCTTGGTGATCGCCGCTACTCCAGAACTCCAGGAGGCCGCTGATGCCACCTTCCTCCCTCCTCCCCTCATCGCCGCGAGTACCTCATCCGCAAGGCGGAGCATGAAGTTGCGGTGCATCATCACGACTTTGCAACAGCGGAACGTGCCACTCGCCTGGCATTACTTCATGAGAATAACACGGCCATGGCAGACTACCTTCCCAAAAGCATCGCATGGGCCACCGCTGACAACTGCGCCTGCACCATCCTCCTCGGCGCCCTCCCCGACGCCCTCATGCGCCGCTTTCAAGCTCGCGAGATGCGCGCCTCCCTCATTTGGGCCGAGCTCCAGGCAATGTTTGAGCGTCGCGACATCAGCTCGGCCGGCGCCCTTTTCCAGGAGTACTTCTCCATCACCCTCGCTACGTGTGACGGCGCAGTTGACTATGTGGGACGCATGCGGGAGGTCGCTGATCGCCTTGCAGCACGCCAAGCTGCCCTCCCCGTACCACTCCAAATCCATCGCCTCCTCTACAACCTCACCCCGGACTACGAGTCCCGCCTCCATGCCTTCACTGAGGCAATCCCCATGGCTGGCCTTAACGACGTGGTCCAGTGGATCATTGACATAGAGGTCAAGCTCCGCACCCCCATTGTCAACCTCACCACCCCAAAGTCCTCCTCCTCCACCTCCCTCAATACCATGCAGCCGCGCAACCAGGGTGGTCGCAACGGCGGCGGTGGAGGTCGTGTGGGGGGCGGCAGTGGCGGTGGCGGTCGGGGCGGTGGCGGTGGTGGTGGTGGTCGAGGTGGCTGTGGTGGTGGAGGTGGTAGTACCACTCCTTGAGGTCCTGCTGGGGCTGGTGGTACTGTGAGCCGTGGAGGTCGCCCAGGCACTCTCCCGCCATGCACCTATGTCCGCCGTCATGGCCCTCACGCTCGTCGTGCAGCGGAAATTATTCACGAATGAGTTTGGCTTCATGGCAGGAGGTGCACGGCATATCCTCACCTCCTTTCTCCAGGTCCATACCGAACACGCCACTGCTCGTGGCTGTCCGCTTCACCGCATCAAAGTGGACGTGTCCAAGGCGAGCATGCCACAGGTTGGGCGTTGCCTTGGAGCCCACCGCATACGTCTTGAGGCTGGCCGCTCCATCTTTAGCTTCTGGCTTGCTTGAAGCCACATCAGCAATCTCCTTCGCCGTGCCGTTGCTTGCCGTTGCAGCCCCTGTGTCGTTGCTCGCCGCTCCACCCGCCATATCGGTGCATGCCGCTGCAGCCGCCGTGCCGTTGCATGCCGTTGCAGCCGTTGCACCGTTCCTTGCTGGCCCCGGTTTCAGGTCAAGGCAGTGAAGGCGATGGCGGTATCATGCCGTTGCAGCCACTTGACCTCCTGATGCGATGATGCAAGTGACACCTTCCTCGGTTTGCAGCTTTGCTCCCTTGTCCAAGAGCTGCCCAGGGGAGACCAAGTTGGCCTTCAGTCCTGGCACAAAGAGGACATCATGTAGGGTCACACGCAAGCCGTTAGTGCCCTCTAGCAAAACCTCACCAACACCGGCAACTTCCTGCATAGAACCATAAAACCCTTTGACTGATTTCGTTGCACATGGGTCACGGATCACCGTGAACCACTCCTTGCGGCCGGTCATGTGTTGGGAGCATCCTGAGTCAAGGAACCACAAGTCCTTGTCGTCGGCCAGCAACTTTGCAGCCGAACACGCGACGGTGAGCGCCACGCCCTTCCCGTCTCCTTCAGCTACGTTCGCGGCTGCCGCGGGCGTTGTATATTTCTTCTTGTTGGGGCACTTGGCAGCCATGTGCCCCTCCTCATTGCAGTTGTAGCAGCGCCCCTTGAAGGGGGCTCGCTTCTTCTCCCGCTTGCCATCCTTCTTCTTGTCCGTTTGCTCCCTTCCCCTTTTCTTTCCTTCCCGTTGACCCCCGTTGTAGCCACGATGGTGTTGACAGCGCTCGAGAAAGTAGATGCATTGCTGGTGATCTGCTTGTAACTCTGTTCGATAAAGAGAGGCTGCTCCTCCATCAACACCTCGCTGCACACGCGTTCCACCGTTATGTCAGGGCTGGAAATTTCGAGCTTGCGGCGAAGAAATCCGTACTCCGGTGGTAGGCCCTTCAGCACGTGGGCGGCAAACGTGGCCATGTGGACCTCCTGCCCAATGGTCAGCAGCTCTGCTCGGATGGTGCGGGCCCTATTGCAGTAGGATTCCGCCGTCTCATCATCTCCCTTCCTGAGTTGGGCTAACTGAGTCTGAAGTAGGGAAGCGTGGAGGGCATCACGAACTTGATAAGTAGACAAGATATATGCTCATGCTAGCTGCCCGGCTTTCTCTTGCTGAGAGAAACCAGAGATGGACATTCGGATGGGTCGAGAAACACATCGGTTCATCACCATGAATGCAAGTATTTGGCCCTTTGCGTACTCCCTTCGTTGCAAGGGGCTGTTCGGCGCCGGGCTTGGTGCTGTCCCATTGCAAAACTGCCACAAATCAGCACACTGGAGCTGAGGTCGGATGGCGCTGACCGACGTGGTAAGGTCGTGCCTTCCCTCCAGTAGCGGCATCACCGCAATGTGTTCAACTCCAAACTTGAATTGACTGTAGCTCGTCCCGATCAATCCCGCGTCAGTGGTCGGTGCAACAGCTCATCCGCTAATGCCCACGGCAGTTGGAGCTGCGAGCACGGCTCCTCCATACCAGTTCCTCCTTGCTGGCCGCTCGCAGGTGCTTGCTCCGCCGCGCGCTCCCGAACCATGCGTAGTAGACGGCCATCCACAATGAGGTCTACCTCCTCATCACGCAAGTGAGGATGGTGCTCACGAATGGACACCTCCAGCTCCTGACGGTCATTAAGACCTCAGTGCTCGATAACCACTCCATGCGGAGTCAAAACGAGCGTCAGCCACACCAATGTGGGAACGAAGTGATGGGAGGACGAAATAAAGCCGCTAGTTGGATAGACGCAGATAACGCAGCTCTGATACCATGTAGAATTCCACTACTATAGCAGCTTGATAGAGCTTGAATGCACGATTCCAATGCACCAAAGATTGCTGGAAACGGTCCACTATAGCCAGAGATACACACAAACATAGCAGTGATAATGACTTGGTTGATTTCTGGTTTGTGCTCTCTGGTTTTATACTAGGACGCAATACAAAATAAAAGCACACAAGAAAGTGTCGACCCGGGTCGCACGTTGAATTTCGTCGACGCGAAATTCGGAGCCTTGAATTTCGCCGAGCGAATTCCATTGACTGGAACTCCGTAGACGAGAATTTCCGCGACAAGAATTCCGTCGACCACCGACTGTAACTCCCGTGCGAATTCCGTTGACTTCGACACTTCGCTGCCGAGTTTCAAACCGAACGTGACCCGAGATCGATTTCGCCAAACTGTCCCCAATCTGTCCCCAAACTGTCCCCAATCTGTCCTGACAAGACACTTTCGGGACACTTGAATCAAAAGGTCTCCAGTTCGAAACTCGTGTGCACCATAACCAGCCCCTTAGAAGAAACTGTCCTGAATCTGTCCTGAGACACTTTTAGGACAGATTTGAAGGTCACGAGTGTTATAGTCACAATAGGCTTGAATGTGCCTAAAACGAAAGATAGAGAGCACAGACGGATTTCTGCACAGCGGCTTCAAACGTTGATAGCGTTCTGCTCACAGCTGCAAATGACTTGATTCAAATTGGATCTGGAGCGTCTTCACGTCGTCTACAATTAGCAATTTAGATTGCACGATTTGATAAACAATTCACGACACAGCGTCGGTTTGAACGAACGGTACTATGGCAGCCACTATAGTCTTAGAACACAAGATAGGAAGAGTTACGAGTTGGGAATGACTCCCAGCTCCTACAAACCCCAAGAGCCGAGGTACAGTGATGTGGAACAGTGCCACACTGTCCCCAACCACGAAGGGTCTCGAAACTACCCTTCACTAGGGCCTACACCAAGTGAAATGTTACACTACACAAAGTAATGTAACTATCTTCAATATCTTGAGGTGTACCCTTTTTGGCAAGCTTCGAAATCACTTGAGGCTTGACACCAAGGCTCGGGCTCTTCATCACAAACTCATCCTTGAGTTCTTGATGGGTCTGCTGCACACACCTGCGACACGCCGAACGTTCGACACAGGACAAAATAGAAACCGCGCACGACAAAATAGAAACCGCGCGCGAGACACAAACGACCGCGTAACACGCGTCTAGCGATAACTCGCTATTGACTCGACACACACACTCGACATCATGACTCAACATTCACACACAATTATAAGCATGAAATATATATTATCCCATGCCCTCATACCATTCCATACACACACACATTCACGCACACGGACAACAAGCCGAGTGCAAACCGTAGGGTTGCACCAACAAACTCCCCCTCGGATTGTTGGCCTTAGGATATGTTGCTCTCTCAGTTCAGAGCCATCCCAGCCAGCTTGCAACACTTCCAATGCTGCTGCTCCACCAGCCTCTTGGTCATCATGTCAGCCGGCTGCCCCGTGGTCTTCACGTAGCGCAACTCAACTTCACCCGCGGTTACCATGGTCCTCGTCCAATGCCACTTCACCCTCATGTGCTTCGTGAGTCCATGCAACACAGGGTTCTTAGCAAGAGCAATGGCACCCTGGCTGTCACAGTACAGTGGGGTAGGTCCTTGCTGCTCCTCCCCCAATTCAGCCAACAAACGCCGCTGCCACACAATCTCCCGTACGGCACGGAAGAGTGCCATGTACTCGGACTCCACCGAGCTCAAAGCTTGGTCAACCTGCTTCTTGCTCTCCCAAGCAGTTGGGCCTCCACCAACACAGCATATGAAGCCTCCCACACTTGTCATGTCCTCTGGTTTTGATGCATATGAAGCATCCGAGTAGGCGGTGAGGAACAAACGCCCGGGTTCAACACCATCCGCGCCCTTTTGGCGCCTTTGTGCCGCCGCCGAGTATTGCAGCCCAACGGTCGGTGTTTGGCCAAGATACTTGGCCACCCTCATTCCAGCTGCTACCTGCTCCTCATTAGGGCATTGCACAACCCTAGCCAGCTGCCCGGTAGCAAACGCGACGTCCGGTCGGGTGTTTACCGCCGCATACATGAGGCTGCCCACCAACGAGTGAAATCGGCGCCTCTCCTCTTCTCCAACGCTCTCCTCCTCTGGCCCCTTCACACACTTGAACCCAGAGGGAAAGGGAGTAGCCACATGACCTTCACTCTGGCCGAAGTTGGCGGCCAACGCCTCCAGGTACTTTCGTTGATGCACCCGCATGCACCGCTTCTCCACATCTCGTTCGATGTGGAGCCCAAGGTAGAAGCTCACGTCACCAAGGGCCTTGCACTTGAACTTGTCTTGAAGCTTCAGCATCACCTCCTTCACAAGGTCAGAAGAGGGTGAGAAAATGAGGATGTCATCCACATAAACCACCATGAAACTCCTCTGCTCCCCCTCGCCAAGCATGAACAAGGAGTGATCGGCCGTTGAGGGAGTGAAGCCGATCCCCTCCAACACTTCGCGCAGCTTCATGTACCATTGCCTAGGGG